AAAATTCCTATCTTTTATATGTCTTAAACTGTATGTTAAATTAGTTTCCTATGATTTTGCTAGTAGTATACTTTTATACTTATAGATAGATAACGATTGAAATATACTAAGTAATAAACTTACAACAATATTCAATTTAGTTTATCGTTATGTAATTTTATTAGTTTTATCAAGAACAGTCTGACAATTCAAATATTTGATTGAATGATATTTGGGCCTATCACTTTTAATTTAGCCTATCTTCTTCCCATAGGTCTAATAACTCTAATATAACTCTGTACCAAAGTTTGTCACAATCGGTCCAGCAGTTTAGGAATGCATAAAGAACAAACAGACAGACAGATATACATATATATATATAGATAAATAGATTTAAAGTTCACAAAAAAATTATATTACCTGTGTATATACAATTCACGGTTGTTTGGCAAATCATAATTTATAACCAAAGAAACCTGTTGAACATCAATTCCACGAGCCCAAATATCTGTTGTAATCAAAACTCTCCTGTATATACATATTAATGAGATATGAGAACAATTTGTGATATCTTTGTTGTAATAAATTATTAAGTAAATTTAAATRTTCTCAAAAATATAAAGATATACTTGAAACACTTACGTTTGACCAGCGCGAAATTCTTTCATAATAGCATCCCTTTCTTTCTGTGGCATGTCTCCATGCATTGAACTTACTGTGAAATTTGACTCCCTCATTTTTTCTGTCAACCAGTCCACCTAAGCAATATAATATTTTGGTTTCTTATGATTCACATTTTTATCTTATTTTAATGATCAATGACTAACCTTCCTCTTAGTACTGCAGAAAATAACTGCTTGAGTTATAGTTAGTGTATCATATAAGTCACACAAAGTGTCGAATTTCCATTCTTCGCGTTCAACAGCTACAAAGAACTGTTTAATTCCCTCAAGTGTCAATTCATCACTGTAAAAGGTATTAATAAGTTAAAAATTTAAAACAACACATYACTAGTCAAATATTGACAAACCGTTTTACTAAGATTCTTATTGGATCGGTCATAAATTTGTTTGTCATTTCCAAAATTTCATGCGGTAACGTGGCTGATATAAGAATAACCTATAAAATTATAAAAAATATTTAGTTGGTTAATTAGCTACCAGTGATAGCTCCTACTATGGTGCACACGAGCCTCAGGAGCATGTGAACCACACAAAAAAATGTAATAAAAAWTTTTAGATTCCTCTAGTAAAATAAATTATAATCGGTAATTGTGTAAAATGGTTTGTAGTTTTGTGAAAAGATGTGTCAATTAAACAATTCACTTATGGGGTGGTGGCCATACAAAAATAAGTTACATAC